CAGTGCATTTGAACTATTAGTGCAGTTTCACCAGCATCGCATGCTTGTCAGCCAATAAACTCAACTGACGCAATCTAGCTGTTCTCGAGATTTCATGGTGGAGGGTGTGCCATCAAAACAAATCCCTTAAAAGCTAGCAAGGTGGTTGCTAATTTGTTGGAATTAACGCCTTGAAGTGAAGACGCGGTCTCCGTTGTTAAACCAGGGCCCTTCCAAATCACAACCACGGGAAATCATGTTGGGAAAGTCGATAGCGATTTTAATGCTTTATACATTTCAAATTGCTTCCAAGGAACAGAACAACTAACAATTGTGAAAATGTAATATGAATGGATTTACAATAAATCGAGACAACGGTCCGTTTGAAGAGGCGGTGACAGTGAGAAAAGCTGACGCTACGGTGGGTGCTTCTTGGACGGATTGGGTGTGTGCCTTGTCGGTTAAACGCGACGTCTCCAGACAGACATCGAACCCTGAACACTGGATTGCCTCTCAGCACGCACAGGTGTTGCAGCTTGCCATTCCCTAACGACATTTTTCGCGTACTCGCACAATTGCTTCTTGATCTCTTCCGATAATTGAACACCAGGAACATCTCCTACGGTAGCATTCACATCACTCCACAGATCCTTAAGAGCTTTGCCAAAATAAGCAATATCTGGACAATTGCGTAATGAAAATTCACGAACGAACCCAGTATTCAGTGCGTGGCTGTAGGAATACCAACAAGGCGATGCTTCCAGATCACTGCGGCGACGTTCAACTGCTGCTTTGAAGTTGGCAATAAAGGGAGCAGGAATCAACTCGTGCAAGTCCGAAAGCGTTTTGCCTTTCGACTTCAAGAAGTTCATCAGCTTTCTGTAAGGGCTGAACAGAGCAAAGTACACTCCAAAATTCATCCAACGAAAGGCCTCGTCCCTGACAGCGTCATATGGGTAAAAATCACGTCTGCGGAAATAACATACACATTTCTGGGCAATCACACGAGAAACCACCCCTCCCAGTTCCCACTTAGCATAATCTCGCCTTATCTTCACCCACATCAACTTCAGCAATTCCCCGTCAACAGGCCTAATGGCTTTGCACTTGGCGATGTCTGACATTGGCCATTTCTGGTTAGTCCAGGATGTAAATTTCGATGAAGGCGCGATTACTATATATGGGCTCGTGAGTGCAGCCAAAAAAACTGTATTTGCAATGACCTGAGCTTGCACTTGTTCATCACCCCACTCAGAGTACAAGTCATTCAACGCAATGCACTCATTGCATTCTAGTCCTTCCATGAGTCTGGTTCCAGCCTTCTGCAATTCTGGTGGCTCTGTGACAACGTACTCAAATGGCTCGATTTTGCTGAACTCATCGCCGAACAACGGCACCGTCAGCACAGAGGCCGCTCTGAAAACGTCCGCATGATTGTCGATGAGGACATCAAGCAGGATGCATTTGACTTGGTCCAGTGTCAATTTGGTGTCATCTGGGAGCACGGGGATTCTCACTTTGGAAAGAGCAGAATAGCTGTATGGTCGTTCGTCTCTTTGTTGAGCTAGGAGCGAAGTAGGCATTTTATATTCAGAAACATTTCGTGCCATCGTGTTTGTCTTCGACGATATTGCGTTTTCTAATGCAGCACAGGCAATACGCGGTATGATATAGCTCGAATCCACGGTCACGACAGCCAGTGAGTGGTGTTTGGTAGTGCAGCGCCTAACTCTGACCTATCAGATGTGATGCTCAGTTATCGGCTGATTGGCAGATGCGAATTCAGGACCACCACAAACTCGCTCACTCAGACTGAGTCAGTGTGCGCGAACTCTGTTTGT